CATAAAAGCTTAGTGAGTTCCCCAAAATACCACATACAACACATACGCCACTCGAGGCTACAGTACGACCCTCCGGTCGATGTGTCTCAGCGGGACCCTCCAGTCCTATAGCTCGTTGGACCCTCTGGTCCGGTCATAGCTCGTCAGACCCTTCGGTCCAGTCTGTGTCGTTGGACCCTTCGGTCCGGTCTATATCGTTGGGCCCTCCGGCCCGGTCTGTTCAACACATAGCATACATATAACACAATGCACATAATCTCATATATACACATAGCATACAAGACCCTCCGGTCTACACATAAATACCACTCTAGGTAATGTATAGTGAGAAGACTCACATCAGGTATCTCGGATAATCTCGCACACGAAAACACTGATCTAGCCCCCGCCTAAACACATAAACAGTACTCTCGAATAAATAATGGCTCTCAAAGGCTAGATTACATCCATTCCTACAATCCCACAGAAGGGTAAAAGACCATTTTACCCCTCCATGACCCAAAAGTCCAAATGTTGACCAAAACCCTAAAAGTCAACGAAAGTCAACAGGAAGCAGTACGCGGCGCGTACCATCTCTATACGCGGGGCGTACGCCGGCGATCCATAATCGGGGTCTCAACCCCTTACGCTGCGCGTTCTGAGAGTTACGCCCAGCGTAAGTCTCAGTTTCAGCCTTTCTTGGATTTTGGTCTTAAACGGTTAAGACATGAACTCCAACTCCAGATCCGACTTCTCTAAGACCAATTAATCCATAAAGTTGACACCTTTAAGCCTTTGCATGGCTGTAAAGGTCCCTAATCACTTTAACACCTTTCCTTCTTCCTCATAAAGTCTAGATCTCATGCATGGCTCAATATTCACGTCCAAGATTGGATTTTTATGAACATACAACTCATATTACCCTGAAATATGGCAGATCTAGGCCAATGGAGACCATTTGCTCATAAAGTCTCCACCTTGGGACCAAAAACCCTAAAAATTGGTCCAAGAAGCACAAATCACAAATGACAAGGAAAGCTTTGAGCTTTTTACCTCAAAAAGAAGCTCCAACCTCTGTAGGACTCGGATCTACTTTTGTCCACCAACTTCTAGCTCCTAAATGGCCTCCTCTTCTCTTTCACCACCTTGAAATGACACTTTGAAGCTTAGAACACACACATACACAAGCTAGGAACGAAGGGTAGCTCTCTATTAGGGTTTCACTCTCTGAAATGGTGGCTGAGGATAAGGCCTTAACATTCCTTTTATAGTGTACAAGCCACAAATTAGGGTTTGCATCTGGGCCCGCTACGCCCAGCGTAACCCTGGGTACGCCCAGCGTACCTAGGCGAGTCCGCGTCCAACTTAAGCGCATGAGTACGCGCAGCGTACTCTTCAGTACGCCCAGCGTACTCATTTGCCTTAATATTTCCTTTAAGGGGCCAAACTTGACAACTTGGAAAAGAAGAAGGGTTTAAGAGATGTACCTGAATTTCGGGATGTTACAGAAGGGATGAAAACCATCTCGATCATTAATTTCTTTTCTTTTTGGAAAAGAGAATTTCTTTAATAATGGTTTTGGGTCAGTTTTCACAAATCGATTAATTCTCATTGCTAACATTGGCGATATTTTATGTCTTGAAGTCACTATATGCGAACCTTTACAACCATGTAAACTGATTTGAAGATAGATATTAGACTACTCATTATATTTTCCACGTGTGTTATCAAATTATCACCCACCACAACACAAATGGTTCGTATATTTAGTTTTATTTTTAAATTAATATATATACCTAATAATAAGAAATAATCAATAAAAGTATTTTAATAATTTTATTTTAATCGGGTCAAAACTTAAAGACATGCTCGTTAAAAGACAAGGTTAAACTAGGAATATAGCTTTTGAACAAGTACATGAACAATTTCTATAACTTAGTCTTAGATTTTTAACTTATACATTATTTTTTTTCAAATTAATAATTAAAAATTGAAGTTTTTTAATATTAAAAATTATATACTAATTTTGGGTAGTTCCATTTCCATGTATATCTAAAAGATTGAAGCATAACAGGCCCCATATGTCAAATGCCTTCTTTATTAAAATATAAAAAATGCTCTATGTTAACATGATCGTGTGTGATTGTGACCCATGCTATAGTGAAAGAAAATACTAAATGATTTTCATGTTGAAATGAAAACAATGGACAAAAACTAGACACATAAAGAAATACTCAAAGTTTCGGGAGTTTGAGATTGTTTATTTAATTTAATGATTATTTTTTTGATAAAAATATTTATTAATTTACGTGACTATAAAAATAAGTTTTTAAAAAATTATTTGGATTAGTTTATATGATTACAAAAAATTATAAGTTGATTAGTTTTGTTTTTTAAAATGTTTGGATGAACGTATATATGCAAAATGACTAAGAAAACATGCTTACATATTTATAACTATTTAGTATTTTTACATAATATTTTATGTAAACATTAAGTTATAAGCTAATTTAATGTGAGTATTATAGACTTTTCATCTTTATAAGTCATAAGATATTTTAGAAAAAAAATACTCATGAAAAATGACTTTTTGAGGTGGTAAAAAGCTATTTTCAAAAATACTTATTAGCTTTCTAAACATATTTTAGATTATTGAAAAGCTAACAAGAAAATTAACCATTTTCAAACTCAAACTCAAATATCCCCTAAATATATCCTACTTTGTTTTCCATCTCTAAAAATAAAAATTTATTTGCCTTGAAAGTTGAAACATGCCACAAAAAAAAAAAAAAAAAAAAAACTCTATTTGGTAACATGCAAATTCCATTCTATCTCAAAATTTATGAGTTCGATTATTTGTTTGTGTTCAAAAAAAAAAAAAAAACTCTATTTGGTAACAAAAAAATGCATCGTACTTTTATTTCACACACGCCATGTGAATGCCTAAATTCTTAAATTCGTTCGTATTTATTTTTAGGAATTAAAACTTAATAAGAAATTATCAACTAGGGTTAACTTTCATTGTAAATACTTGTTACATGTGTTGGGTTTTAGTTCAAAAATTGTTTCATAAACTAGAAAGATATGACAACGGAACACTTAAAATTTTGAACATAACATAATATTTTATACCTATCAAGGATCATATTGCAAGTTGTAGAAAGATTTAAACACCAACCAAAGAATATGTGAAGAAATGACAACCTTTGTAGTTCTTTGAGTCCTCTTGGGAGGCTTGAAAGTTGATGAAGAATGTGGAACTTTAAGACACCAACAATGACTCAACTTGATGTAGATGCTAGTCCATAAACGCTTAAACCTTTAAGCTTTAAGTTCATAACCAATATGAACTTAAAGAGAGCATGAAGATGCAAGTAACTTCAAGAAAAGAGAGAGAGTAACCTCCTCTAAGGAGGTTACGGTTTTGGTAGTATGAATGAGCAAGCCAAATGAAAGCATCAAGTCTTGTATTTATAGTAGAAACAATTCCGTACTTTATGAATAAAATAATCACAAGACCATGTCCTTATTTAAATAATCAAAGAACTATTCTCTCATTTAAATAATCAAAATGTCATACTCTTATTTAAATATTCAAAGAACCATTTTCTCATTTAAATAATCAAAACCCATAACTTTTTTTCTTCTTGAAAATTATATACAAAAGATAAGAGTTTGTTTAAATTTTATAAACTCAAAGTTTATAAAATATAAACTTTGTCTTTTGAGTAAAAGACAAAAGGGTTTCAACTAGTCCATAAAGTTGTACATACCTTATTAATTCATACCATATGAACTTGCTAATGAAAATTATTATTTCCTAGAAATAAATAATTTCCATTTTAATTGTAAGAGTTTTTATAGAATATTTATTAAAATCAATTTCTAATAAATAATCAATTATATCAAGTTGTTGTTAGTGTGACTCATTAGTATCATATTTTAATTAACAATATCACTTTAATATGATTCTTGAGCATACAAGACCTTTCAATCTCCCACTTGTGCAAGACTCATATTAGACTCACTACTAGAAAAACAGCCTTTTACGACGCGCAATGCGTGTCGTAAAACGCTCAGACGACGCGCAAATGCGTGTCAAGGAAGACCATGTCATAACGACAGACGACACGCTTTTTCGCGTCGTCTATTTACGACGCGCATTTACGACACGCATTTATGACACGCATTTACGACGCGTAGTCATGACACGCAATGCGTATCAAGGAAGACCCTGTCATAAAGGAAGACGACACGCATTTGCGTGTCATAACCTTACGAAGCGCGTGTTTATGACACACAATGCGTATTAAGGAAGCCCCTGTCATAAAAGAAGATGACACGCATTTGTGTGTCATAAACTTCAGTAACCATTTTCGATATGCATTTACGACGCGTCTTTACGATACTCATTTACGCATAATACAAAAATATGTAAACAAATATATACCAAAACAATCAATTTCATCCCATAACATCATGTCAAAAAATTGTAATACATTGATATTAAGGTGATCTAATTGTACATTGTTATTAAGAGGTTTTCCCTAATTATATAACCTAATACTACATTGCTATTAAGGGACACCTTCTGCAATGTAATGCTATACAAACTAAAAAGATATACACAAAGATGATAAACATCAAATTTCAACTAAATAGAGTTGCATCTTGCCTTTCATAATTCTTTAAGACTAATGAACCCCTACTCCGATAATTCTTGTGACCTGATCAAATAATAGTCAAAAAATTAATATGTTAATATAATTATTAGAAGAATCAAACATGGAATGTTAGTTGTAAAAGACGAAATTACACTTTTCTCCATCCAAAGAATGTGGGACCGCACTTGAGATATGATATTTGATCCATGTGGTGTTCCGGGTTCCATTAAAATATAAAGTATTTATCAAGTTTAATATTCAACCATTAAATGTAACAAAGTTAATGTTTTTTACTATACTATGTAGCTCGTTATATAAACAAGTAAAAGATTGGACTATGAAAATAGCTTTGACTGATTAAACATGTATCGTTGACCATTGACTTGGACTAAAGCAAAGCCCTGCCCACCCACCTTCTCCAACTCCAAAATCATGAGGTGATACTGAAAACGTAAGCCTTTCCACATCTGAAAATGTATAAGAAAAATTAGATAAATTTATTGACTTGAATGTTGATTATACATCAGATTATTCATTTGGAAAGACCAATAATTAATGTTTACTCGAACTGAAAAAGAAAAGAAAAAGATGGTGGAAATGAATATTGGCAATCTCAAGATTTAAATAGAAATTAAACAATTCAATAGCAAAAATATAAAAAAGAACAAAAAAAATGGTACCTTTACCATCGATACCCAATCTGGAAACAATGAGATGTCCATATGAGTCAACGCTTCCCAATATTAAGCAGTCAGAGCCTGCAGATGTGGGATCACATAATATGAAAAATATTACGCATAATGAAATCAAACATTAACATTTAGGCACCACAGTACAAATAAATTAGACTAAATTATGCATTATTTATGATTTATGATATGCTAGTAGCTCAGTCTATGAAGGGTAAATGAAATGGGAGAATTAGAGTATTAGATTATAAATATGGATATTTTATCTAGCAAAAAAAAGTGAAAAATGATTTCATACATTAAGATTTCATACAATAATACATCAATGCACATTAATCAAACATTCAAAGTTACACCAATTTAAAGATGGGACTACTTAAATAACAACAAGACCCTGTCAAAGCTTACCTGAGTTTGTTCAAGCAAAACCTTATGCATACATTTGTAGGCGATGATCAGGAACGATGCTCTCATCTGGTGATTTATAATCGGTTGCTTTTTGTTCGGCTGAAAGCAAACGTTCCACCTACACACACAGATATTTGATTAGAAACAACTTTAAAAGATTATATTTTTATGGAAAATATAAATAATAGAAACTCGGTTTCAAGAACAAACCTCGGTCATAACTGTCTCGATGCACTGTTGGAGGCCTTTATAGGCAGCACCCTCTACACTGGACATAGATGTTGCAATTTCTTCACATGATGCAGCATGTGCACCATCCACAATGTTGAACGATAGCCACACTGCTTCCACAACGTTGTACAGCAACCATGAAAGATCTAAAACTGCTTCCACCAGCAGCAGCAGCAGCTTCTGCCTACATCATAATTCATGACTCTCATCTCCTTTCAAATACTTAGGAAATATATATATATATATATATATATATATATATATATATATATATATATATATATATATATATATATGTGAAATATAATATATAGTGTGTACGAATATTGAAAAAGGCTTACAGCAGAAGCTGCTGCAGCAACCACTCTTCTACTAACACTGGTGCCTAACACAAACCTCTCCCTCAAAGCTGCAGCCTATGTGAGGCCATCTCTGGCTCTTTCAAGCCCCTCTGTTGTATACTGAGTTACTGACTCACCTGCACCACAAAACATAATTACATTATATGCATATGCATATGCATATGAGGAAGGAAGTAGATACAATCTGTAACTTACTTGGTCTAGAAGGCAAGTGAAGAGGGTTTTCACATTGGTTGCAAGATTACCAGGCTGTACACAGACAATTGAGTAAAGGGAATGTAAGAATCTTGTGAAGTATCCAAGATTCATATATAAAATAAAATTTGTTTTTGTTTTACCTGAGGTGATAACAAAGTGCATCTGGAAATTGCTTCTTCATTCCAGCGCACAAACTCTGTGACAACTGTAACAGAGATTTGCTGGTGGGAAGATGATATCGAAGCACCTTTTGAACGTCCAATTGACCCTGTTGACTCTCCCGATAGCTGGCTTTCAGAAAGCAGTTCCTCCATCTGTATGCGATAATTCATCAAGGTATAGCAGGAGATATTATATATATATATAATATATATATATATATATATATATATATATATTATATAGAGAGAGAGAGAGAGAGAGAGAGAGAGAGAAAATGTATGTGTGTGTGTTGTAAGAAAAAGAAAAAAACCTTTGATTTGTAGAGTTTTATTAAGGAAGCTTGCTCGTATTCAATGTACATATCTTTGTGATCAATGAATAGAGATTCTGTCAGGCCTGTAGCAACAACAAAAGGTATATCAGGACATTAAAAGTAACCAGAAGTTACTTTTAACTTACTATATGAAAATGTCAGGGCTGTCTTGTTCTATCTAATGTCTTAAATGGCCCCTTAATAAGAACACAATTGAGGAAGCTTATGAACCAAAAATACTTACTTGATTACTAATGGGCCAGAAACAAAGTAGACATGGACTGAAACTTTATGGGACAGCCCAAAATGTCCAGTTTTACATTTTTAGGAAAATGAAATTCCTTTACTAAAAGTAGATTTTGGGAGCGAGTAGATTTAGAATACCATTTTAATGCCAATGGATTTCATGAGAAGAACCACACCATCAACCGAAATTTTTAAGATTTCAGCAGTAGAAAAGTCAGGGAATATGTTGTTGAAGACAGCAGAAGAATAGAGACGATAACAGTGGTCAGGTGCTGTTCTTCCAGCACGCTGAGCTGCAGATGCTTTGCTTATCCCATTCCAAGGATTATAACTCTTAAACCTTTCCCTTCCTTCATATCCAGGAAGCATCGCATACAGGGGCAAAACCGTCAATGCACCAGGGGACCCATCATCCTTCTTTTCCTTTTCCTTTGATGAATCTGATTGTTTCAGATCAGATTTACCTATATAGATAATATTTAAAAAAACATTAAAATATTAGTAAGTTATAACTTATAATAATAAATAAAGAGAGAGTTGAAATGGAATCATGGAATCATGGAATCATACAAGAGCAATCTCCTGCCCTAGATCTGGATGCCTAGGAGCAATTATGGCAAGAATATTGATGTGCTTTTGTATTAAGGCTCTATGAACTGATACCATTACTGTAAAAAAATGATCAAAATGTACTACCACTTTTGTTAAAAGAATGTTGAAAGTTTTAGTATTCAGTTGAAAACTAATTGCCTGAATATTGCTCTTGAATAGAACAAAAGTATAAAGATTTTATAACAGAGATGTGAATTCAAGAATGAAGTAAAGGAGATCATACCAATGGAACTATGAGTGAAAATTTGGATAGCATCAATTACTGGTGTTGACAATGTTAGCATAACCTGCTCAAGGAGATGAAAGAAAATAGGTTAAGTTGAATTCATAGATTTGAAAAACAAAAGTGAATGAAAAGGTAAAGGTAAATTATATTTATACTAACACCATTTGCTGAGGCAATAAGAAAAAGATTTGGCCATACTTCACTTTCTACTAGCACAAGTGCATATGGCTTCCAGTATTCAAGAAAAGCATTCACAGCAGCAGGTGTATTAACTGGAGCAAACTGAATTAGGGTTCAATAATCATGAATGGAACTGAATTCATACAGAAAGTTAGCAAATGTAACCTGTATCATGAGATATAAACATATATATACCAGATATATGACATCACAAGGAAGAAAAGTATTTAGTTGTCGTCATCAAAATAGTTAAGTACTCTTCTTGTATCGTTGAATTATGTGTTGTAAGCTCTTGCATACTCTTCATCTAATCCTCACTATCCTTTATTTCAGCTACTTTTTTTTCTTCCTAATTTTAAGTTTTTTTTTACAGGGCAAGAAAAGGAGAGACATAGTCTGCATAGCCCTTGCTGATCAGTGCTGGGTATTCTGAAAAGTAAATCCAATTGCAAAAATCACTTCTCAAACACGATGGTTGAGGGATTGAACGTATCAAAGGTTGAAACCCAGATGTAAGTTGAACGTAAGTTGAACAGAAAAGATAAAATTAAGTACCTTTACAATGGAGCTTGAAGAAGCCATTTTCATCTTCTTTTTCAGCTAGCACTAAAGACGGTGGTTGTGGGATTCGACGTACCAGATGTGGGTGAAGACCGAAGCTGGAAATCACCGACAGGGGACAGAGGAGTCGTTGATAATCAATTAATTAGACTGGGAAGACAACCTTCATCTTCGAGACCTTATGTTGACCTAATCATCATATCAGAACAAAATTTCACCCGTAGAGGTGCGAAAACATGTGATGAGCCAAAAATCAGAATGAACAAGGTCATCAGGACAAACCTAAGGATTCGCCTTGGTGATGTTGTGTCTGTTCACCAATGTCCAGATGTCAAGTACGGAAAGCGCATCCATGTCTTTCCACTTGATGACACCATAGAAGGTGTCACATGAGACTTGTTTGATGTCTTCCCTTAATAGTTGGTGTGTGATGAGTCGAATAGAGTTCTTGTATGCCAAAACCCTAAATGGTTGTAAGATTGAAGAAGAAAAGCATACGTAAGGGAATTGTTTTTGAAACTCTGAAAATCACAATTATATGTAAGGGGGAAATAAAAGCACTAGTTTTTGGTCGCCATTTTGTGATATTCAGGAATGGACGCGCGTTTTTAAGAAAAAAATTATAAAACGATTATATGAGTTGTATAGCAGATATGGTATCGTGATTAGGGTTTGCAGAGAGAAGGGAAGAAGAGAATGAAGGGGGATTTGAAGCGGGGTATTGAAAAATTTTAGAATTTTAAGAACGCGCGTTTTGAGTAAAAATCATAAAGCGACATTCACAGAGGACGCACATTTTAGATAAAGTGTCATCCGTGTTTTTAGTTTTTTTACATTAGACACTAATTTAAGGGCACGTAATAATGCGTGACCTAAATCCTTAAATTTTTTTGAATAGACGACACTTTTTTAATGTCACTTTCTTTTGCGTAACATAAATCCATGAGTGTCGTGGTTTGCATGTCGTAAAAGGGTCTTTTTCTTGTAGTGACTGATATAGACAATGGTGAACTGTTGGATATAGTGTCTAAGTCCATAACTATATTTGGTATGTACTTGACCCGACCCGGCATGGTCCATTTGGGTTGCATGACATTGCAATGCTTGGATAGACTAAATGAGAAAAAAGACACTTAAGGTTTATTAATATATTATAAGTTCTAATATATTAATAATATTATTTAATTAGTATTGATCAAATAATTAATTTGAAATTAATTAAGTGATCAAAAAGAGACTAATTAAATATATGGGGTTGATTGTGTAAATCATCTATTCTTGTATAATGGGCTAATGATCCATGGTTTGTATGGATTGGGTTAAAACCCATAAGGTGCTCCATGGATAGTTCATGGAGGTTACAAACCCATGGATCATGGAATATGGAAAGCCATGACAATTAGGGTTTATATGGTGTAACCCTACTTGTGTCACAACTATATAAAGACCCCTAGTCTAGCAAAATCGGCACTACTTGTACAAGATAGAGGGCAATCCGATTTTTGGGTGTTAGTGTACTTCTCTCAAGGTTATTCCAAGTATTGTGGTGTTGTGTGAGACATTTGCGGCATCACACTTGAGGTGCTAGGCTCACAAGGTTTTTAAGGAATCCAAACAACATAAGGTATGTTCTATAACTAGCATTTATGTTTAAAAGTTCCCCATGCTATGCTAGATAGGTTATGAACCTTGGAAATCAAATTTACATCTATCATATTAAAACATAGATCCAAGGTTTCTAGGGTTGCATGTACACCATATGAGTGTTAGAATGCTCAAAACCCATCAGTGGTATCAAAGCCTAGGCTTGTTTGTTTGATACTTGATGCAAACTTGTTGAAAAAACTCAATTTTCTGCATTCTGCAGCATGAACTCGCCGAGTCTAGGGGGGGACTCGACGAGTCCATGAGTTAATTCATCCTACTCGTCGAGTAGGTTCTTGCACTCGACGAGTAGGAGCCCGTGAATGCAAATTTTCGAGTTTTGCTGCTGGAAATGGACTAGAAACATTACCCTAAACTGTTTTGGTGTTTTAAAACTTGTTTTAGATGGTGTAATGCTTATGCTAATCCATTTATAATGGCTAATATCAAAATTCCATGTTTTATATGTGTTAATATGATTCTTGAAATTTTGATATGAATGTTCATGTTCTTATGAGTTTTAGAAGATCATAGGAATTATGTGTAACTTGCTTGTTAATATGATTCTTGATCTTAATACCTAATGATGGAGTCCATAACTTGTCCTTGGATAACCAAAAGTCACTTATTTAAAAGTGTCATTAAAGAATAAGAGGTTACATAAAATGAAGAGTCTTCATTTTTATGGACCATTAAACTCATAAGTTATGAAATGAAAAGTCTCGAATAGTTTCAATACTTGCCCTCAAGTTTTGAAATTTGTAAAGTCTTACACCCTAATACTTTAATTTCAAATTGAACCTTAGAGTTTTAAAAAGTTTAAAATTCAACCCTTATACTATTATTATATTAAAAGTTTAAATATATAGATATGTATAAGAATAAGTCAGTCTTACCGTTAGTAGGCCTCATTCACGAAGCCGGTCTATAAGGGGGTATAAGGTTGTTGCCTATAAAATGACAGCTTAATGGGTGTCCACTCTCACCCACCGCTTCCTTGACTGGTGGAGGGTCGTTAGCCGAACGGGTAGGATAGGACCTTAATTCTCATTAAAAGTATAATGAAATTATAAAGTAACTAAACCTTTATTAATTCCCAATCTTAGTTACTTTAGGAAAATGTGAAATAGGTGCTAACCCATGAAATTACACTTTGTACCTTACCAAGTCGTTAGTGGAGCGTGTGTGGTTAACCGGCACACTAACAAGGACTAGTAAGAGTGGAAGAGGGTAACTTAATTTTATCATAGATCGGTGGAGCGCGTGTGGTTAACCGGCACATCGATTAGGTGATAAAAGTTAAGGGTACCAAGTCAATTTGCATGGTTATTCACACCTTGTTTGTGATCCTCGGCATCCCAGTCACAAACTTGAGAGGGCACAATCGAGATTCAAACATGCCATTGAAAGTTCAATGTATCTCAAAAGATCTAGGAATTTCAAATCCAATAAAACTTATTAACTATTTCGTTTTTGTGGTGGAAATTGGTAAATCGTCATTTACCTACCTTCAAATATTTTATAGCTTGGATTACGGCATCCCTCTTCCAACTATAAATAGTTTGTTGGATCCTAGCCTTAATATTTCATTTGGGTGACTTATTAAGGACTCTTTATCTAATAAAACTTGTCTTTCTTTCTTTCAGATGTCTTCCAACACTGCTACTCTACTCTACTGGCTCAAACCCTACAGGCTCCTTTTCCCTAATGAACTTGTGTGGGAAACTCACTTTTGATGGTTCCAATTTCAATGAATGGATTAGGAACATCAGAATGATTACTCGCTATGAGGGCAAAGAGTATGTCCTCGATAAGGAGCTAAAGGTTATCGATGAGTCAACTGCTACTCCTGAGGAGATTGCTGAGTACACTACCCATGAGAAAGATGCCACTAAGGTGTCTTGCATCATGTTGGCCACCATGACAGCAGAACTCCAAAAATCCTATGAAGAGTTCTACCCTTTTGAGATGCACCAGGATCTGATGGATAGGTACCATCAGAGTGCTCGTCAGGAGAGGTATGAAATCATTTCCTCCATGATAACATCTAGGATGAAGGAGGGAGAATCCCTCACCGGTCACTTGCAGAAAATGCAAAGGTTCGTGGACCGGTTATTGAAGCTTAATGTGGACTTCCCTGAGGACATGGCGATTGACATCATTCTCCATTCCTTACCTCCAAGTTATGATCAGTTTCGTATGACTTATCATTTGAACAAGGAGGAAGTCACACTAAGTAAGCTTCAAGGACTTTTAAGGACCGCTGAAAGTGGCCTTAAATCAGCTGTTACTCCTACTCCTACTACTGCTCCTGTCCTGGCAATTGGGAAAGGAAAGGGGAAAAAGAGGAAGACCCCTTCTAAGGGTACCAAGGGAAAGTCTCTTGATGGCTCCTCTTCAAGTGGAACCAAGAAAGGTTCCATTCCTCCTTCTTCAAACCCAAAGGAAGCACAGTGCTTCTACTGCCAGGAAAAGGGGCACTGGAAGCGAAGCTGCCCCAAATACTTGCAGGATGTAAAGGATGGGAAAGTTAAACCCACCCATGCAGGTATTTACACTATATTGTCTAATAAATCATTGAATACTAATTCTTGGGGTGCTTGATACAGGTTGTGGTATTCACATTTGTACTGATTTTCAGGGCCTAAAAAGAAGTGAGAAAGTGGAGCACGGGAAGATAAACTTAATCATGGGGAAGAGGAAAGCATCACCTGTTACCAAGATAGGAGTTTATTCTTTATTGCTTAATAATGGGTTAATGTTAGATTTTAATAAGTGTTTTTACTCGTCTGAAATGGCGAGAAATATTATTTCCTTTCATGGCTTTTACAAACAAGGGTTTACTTTTTCATTTGATAATGATAATGGTGCTATTAATGTTTATTACAATGATGTATTTTACTTTAAAGCATTACCTTGTGATGGTGTATATGAAGCTGTGAATGTTGTAGATAATCTAGGAAATAATGTGTTGTGTATTAATTCTTCAAATAGCTTAGACAAAGCATCTTTGTGGCATTGTCATCTTGGACATGTTAACAAGAAGCGCATGGGCCAAATCCAAAAGGTTGGAGTTTTGGAATCGTTTGACCTAAAGTCGGATGATAGTTGCGAGTCTTGTTTACTTGGAAAAATGACAAAGTCACCCTTCACTGGTACTTGTGAGAGGGGTGAGGGTTTTTTGGACCTCATACACACTGATGTGTGTGGACCCTTCAAAACCGCCATAAGAGATGCTAATCACTATTATCTGGCTTTTACTGATGATTATAGTAGATATGGATTTATCTACTTAATCAAGCATAAGTCAAAAACCTTTGAAAAGTTCAAAGAGTTTAAGCAGGAAGTGGAGAATCAACTGGGCAGGAACATCAAGATGCTCCGATCCGATCGGGGAGGAGAGTATCTTAGTATCGAGTTCCTTGACTATCTTAAGGAATGTGGGATTGTCTCACAATTGACACCTCCTAGGACACCACACACATGAATGGTGTGATGAGAGGCGCAATCGAACCTTGTTGGATATGGTTCGTTCCATGATGAGTCGAGCTTCGTTACCAATCTCATTCTGGGGGTATGCCTTAGAGACTGCCGCCCATATCCTGAATCTAGTCCCTACTAAAAAGGTTGCCAAAACACCTCATGAGATGTGGACTGGGAAAGTTCCCAATTTGGACCACATCAAGATTTGGGGTTGCGAGGCTTTCGTGAGGCGCGAGACTCACGATAAGCT